CCCCCCACCCAAACACCTGGGTCCCCCCCACGTCCCTCCCACCCAGACACCTGGGTGCCCCCGGTGTGAGGGAGGGGCACCCACCACTGATGGGGGTCCCGGGCCCCTCCAGCGCCTCCCGAATGTCCTCGAAGCTGCGCCAGGAGCCGCCGCAGCGAAGCCCCCGGAGGCGCACCCGGATCTGGCTGGGGACAGGGGACATGGGGACATCATGGGGACTTCATGGGGACACCAGGTGGACACCATGGGGACATGGGGAGATGGGCTTGGGGACACCATGGGGACATGGGACATTGGACATGGGGACACCATGGGGTGTGGGGAGTGGGACATGGGCATGGGGACACCATGGGAACATGGGGAGGTGGCACATGGGGACACCATGGGGACATGGGGACACCATGGGGTGTGGGGATGTGGGACATGGGCATGGGAACACCATGGGGACAAGGGACATGGGGCATGGGGACACGGGCATGGGGACATAGGACATGAGGACACCAGGGGACATGGGGACACCATGGGGACATGGGATATGGGGGACATGGGGACACATGGAGACATGGGGACACCATGGGGTGTGGGGATGTGGGACATGGGCATGGGGACACCATGGGGATAGGGGACATGGGGACACCAGGAGACAGGGGACGTAGGGACACCATGGGGACATGGGCATGAGGACACCATGGGCACACAACGGGGTGTGGGGACATGGGGACACAGGGTTTGGGGGGATATGGAGACACGGGGATGTGGGACAAGGGCGACATAGGACGTGGGGACACCATGGGGACATGGGAGATGGCACATGGGGACACGGGGACATGGGGACATGGGACATGGGGACACCATGGAGACATGATGGGGACGTGGGGGGACACACATGGGACCCAGTGGGGGACAAGTGGGGACACACAAAGACAGAGTGGGGTGGTGGCTGGGACACTCGGGGACACTCAGGGGACATGGGGGGGTGACGGTGACACCGACGCGGCAGCGGCGCGGGCGGC